CACATGTGTATTTGAATTATTTTGACTTCTGACTTCTCTTGCATTTACTAATAATACATACATAATGAACTAACATGTGGTACCTCTCTCAAATAGCGAAACTAAAAATTATTTCGTGGGTGGACTAAGGTAAAATTATTGCTATGAAATCAAATGCTTAATTATTTGTTTTTTTTTTTATCTATGTAAAATTATATTATAATAATAATAATAATCCTGAAAGTAATAACTTGAAGTTAGAAATTTATAAATCTACATAAATCAAGTTTCAACTAGATTTTACAAATAAGAGTAGGTGAACAATGTCATGAACAGTGAACAGTGGTTTTTTATTTCTAGTTTCAGCATGCCCATTAGTCTTTTAATTTTCCTTATTCTACAAGAATATGTTAAAACTTCCTCCTCCTTTGATAATTAGCTTGTTTCATGTTTAATTTGGTTTAGGCCTTTATATTTTACATCCTTGTAACTCTTTTTAGAGATCTAATGATTGAATAAAATTGATGTAGTTTGATTCTCTCTAGGTCTGTGTGATGCAACCTAACCCTAGGTGTGAAGCTAAATCCTCTAGGAGTGATTCAACACTCCCTTAACCATCTTTAATTCGAATGATATTTTATAAGAATGATCTTCAAATGAAAAGTAAGAAATTAAATGATTCAGATTATAAAATTCATACTGTGAATATACGTTATTCTCAAAAAGTGGAATATGTGAATTACACCCACAGAGAGATGCAAATGTTATCGATGGTTTTATTATAGTACGAAAGTTTGGGATCAATATTCTAAGGTAAAAGTGTAGACTTTGATAGAGAAAAACTGCCTTTGTTGTGTAGTTAGGTAATGGTGTTTGATGGTGCTTATTATTCTGATTGTGCTGTTTCTCAGATGCTGAAGAGAGTCTTCAAAAGAGTGGAAAAAGGAGAGAATGATGCTTTTCAAAAGCATTTACACTATGTGTTACCAAACATAATATATAAGTAGTGATCGAGGTACATATCATGTCTTCCGATTGTTTCTGCAATGCACCAGAGCATTGCGTACCCTGTAAAATAAATAATACGGTTACAAAATCATAGCATTTAATGTCACGGAACATTGTAACCAGACCCATCTTTTCACAAAGTGAGAGAATAGTTCCCAACACCTGAGCAGCAGTGACACCCAAAACCCACGCTGAGGTGTGCCCACAGATCCACAAAAACCTCATAAATCTGGTTGTGAAACAAGATATTCCATTTTATTGACAAGTAATAATTGATGTTTCCTAACAACTTAAAGGAAATGGGACATGGGGGATTATGTTATAATGGCTGCATAACGGGCACACACACACTCCCTCTCTCGTACCATTGCGTCCACTTTGATATCATGTGGAAGAGAAAAGTGCGTGCACTCATCGGGCACATCATTGGAGTTTCCAAAACGGAGGAGGATTCTCTCCCCTCATAGTTTCTTTCTCCTTTCCTTCCCTCCTATTTGAACGATTACGGTTTAGCCATATCAACATCTTATATTGATTTTTTTATAGAGACAATAAGACAAAAAATAATATGTGAGAGGAGGGGAAGGAAAGAGATGAGAATAGAAGGGGAGAGAATCCTCCTCCTTCTAAAATGGACCCTTGCATCAGTTATAGCTTTCAGCTAAACAAGCTAGGGTTCCGCTAATATCAATCGCCCACTAGTGCGTGACCTATTTTCATTTATTGTGCAAGTCCTATATGATAAATGGTCTGAAATTTCTCAAGCACGTTGGTAATTGAACATTGTGTATTTTAAAAAGCTATAACTGCATACAGTCTAAACCAGAAAGCTTCGAATCTAAATGTAAGGAAAATTTTGATGAATGAGGGTTTACCGCTGTTATTTGAAAGGGATTCGAACTCGAAATTTTTCATTAGTATTACTATTATTATTGTTTGAAGGGGATCTTAAACGGCGAGAGGGTCATACAAATGCGACTTAAGCCTTGAGGCATTTTATGGTTAGATGTGCACAGTATTGACTTTCCTATCTCAACTTGCAGAGTTAATTAGGTGACACTTAACAATTGTATTTTCTTCCTACATTTGCTTATGGTCCTGGACCTGGTGGATACACCTTATGTTCAACCCTCTGTCCCCCATTTCATTAGTGGAGCTTAGAGTAATACATTGCTTGTAATAATCTTTGTTTAACTTTTTCATCAAAAAGCCTAAACATTTGTCATTTTATTTCTCCTCCACTGTCGAATTAAGATCAAGCGGTCAGGGACCACAATTTAAAATCATGGTCTTCACTCTGCTTATTACTTTTTAGCTACAATCTTAGTCATACTATTTTTTTTTTAAGGCACAATCTTACAGTCCAAAGTTTTAGGATTAAAGTAAACATTCACTTTGTTCATCATTCTATCTTTACATTTTACAGTCTACCAATATTTCTCCACATTGTAAATGTTTTCATAAGCAAGAACACGTCTTCAGATATAGTATTTTTCTGGCCATTCCCTTCGATTCTGCCTTTTTATCAACAGCTTAAGCCCTGGTTTGGGATTGAGGTGATTTAAAAAAATGGGTATGAAAAAAAGTTGGGAGGGTTTTTGGTGTTTGGTAAACTCTCAAAATCAGCTTTATTTGACAAACTAAAAATGGGAAGCTGCAAAAAGCAGCTTATTTGTGAAAACACGAAGCAGAGTACTATCTGTGAGATTGTGGTGTAACTAGATGTGGTGTAGTCTCTGGTTGGTGGAGGTTCTTGGGTTACATTTCTTTTTCATGTTACGACATGATAAACTTTAAATATACATATGTTGAATTTAATTGGAATGCAAGTGTTTAGATCTGTCATGGTAGAAGGTCTAGATTCCTTAAGGATATAAGTGATATCATAACATTTTAGACTTAAGTTTCAGCATGGGCCAATTCGAAACTTGAAAAATGTTACCTGGACAATGGTTCTCATAGGCAGTCGATCATTTTGTGCAGCGTGCATGCACGCATCAAGTGATAGTTTATCGCAGTTCATTATTCTGCATAGCCTTCTCCGGTCATACTCAGACAGCATAGGATGAGTCTGAAAGAAAAAGGGTTAAGATTTTAGGTTATAAATAAGGTAAAACTAGAGAAACAGGTGAGAAGGTAACCTTTAGATAGGTATCAAAAACTTGGTTATGGAGAGTTTCGGGTCTCCTGCAATCTCTGATAGGTAGTTGTTAACAGCTTACTAACAGCAATTTTACCAGTCTTCTGTTGCTGTTCTTGCTGTTGGATTTTTGTAGGAGCGTTAAAGGAGGAACCAGTGGTTTTTGTAGGAGCGTTGTTGCTAGTGCTTCATGTTTTCTATATGGATCCCTAATTCCCTACTACCATTCTTTAAAAATATTCAGGCAAATAAAAATGGCAGATTGTAACTACTAGTTGTGCTGTCATGTTACGCATGTGTTACATACTTGCTGGTGTTTTCAATGTGGATTCTTACTACCATTCCTTCAATTGTTTGTGCTGCTATGTGGGTGATATACATTGGATTATCTGAAACCTGCTTTGCTAGAAGTTTCTTCTAGTGGAAACTAAGGATTTAAGAACGCTGAACAAAAAGGGGTTCATGATGGTTTTAGGTTGGTGTTTGATGAGTGATTGAGTCTTGCCCGGCATGCACAAACCTGCTTTGTAGACATGTTTTAGGTTGGCGTATCAGTTACTTCAGACATTTATCCTTTTCTTTGTTGGGAAAATATGAATTTACGGTCTTTGCTGAATCTTGGTGTGGCATAAGACTTGTAGCATTGAGTATTTATGTGTGTTTAGGCGTTTCCAGTCCCTTCTTATATTTACTTTAGCTCACACTACACTTTTGTAGATCTTTCTAATGTTAAAGATTTTTCTTGTTGCATGCAAGCATGTTTACGACAAAGGGCATATCATGCATTACTTACGGGAAAACAACACACGATGCCCAGTTGCAGTTATATTTATTTTTTGTTCCCCTACATCAGTTGGACTTACACTTTGGTGAGATTGCTAAACCCTTTTGGTTTTTCCTCCTATCAGCTTGCCCTGCGAAATTGAAGTCAGATAAAGTGAAGGATGATCCATTGTTAGCCGCTGATATTGATGAATTGCGTAAAACGTAGAATCGGAATGATGTGATGGACGTCACTGAGTTTGAAGAGTGATTGGATGATTTCGGGATGTGAAAAGTTTCTAAAATGACATTTCAGCTTAGCTATTTCAACATGCTTTTAGGTCGTTGTGAAGTAATCGTGTATTCTATAGAATGGTTTTGTATAGAGTGACCTGGTTTTATGATATTGCATATGTAGTACTAGTAGTTGAAAGCACCTCCAGTTCCTTCTCTCTGTTGAATTCTTTTAGACTGCATTTGGACAAGTGCATTAACATGAGGCATCCGGTTGGATTGCCTAATTCAAATTGTATGCTTGGTTAAATCTCATTATTCTATATTTGAAGTGGTTTAGAGAGTAATTGTGAAAGAACCCGTTAACCTAGTTGTACAATGAACAAAGTTAGAACTCACAAATTCTTTGGGCCGTGCCATTGGGAAATAGAATAGCGGCAAGTTTGATGAATGCATCTAATTAGACTACTTTCAAGTACATTAACAATATTGTTCTAATGAATTTAAGATAAAGTTTATAAATATTTTTCTTTTAAAAATAAAGTATATTTAGTAATTCACCTTTATTTGTTAAGCAAATTTAATTAATGGCACATCTAGTATTATACCCTTTCTGGTCATTTCACACAATCATATCTATTTTAAATAAAAGTTTACCAAAGACTGCAATACTTTTTTTTTTTTTTTTCCAAAAGCACTTTTACAAAAAAGTTTATCAAACACTCTACTGCTTATTCTCACAGCACAGCAGAAGCAGTTTTTTTTTAAAGCACAGCATTACCAAACCAGCCCTAAATCATATACATATTTTCTTTGCGGAAAAAACTGATGGGATTTTCAAAACCAAAAAGCCAAAGTAAGGCCAAGATCAACTGGGTTCAGCAAAAATTTAATCAAATCTCTTTATTGACACGGAAAGTCGAAAAATGACAAGCAAATCCTCAACATCACGGTATTAAGGGGCTTGAAGACTAGAAAAACGCCAAGAAGGTAGAATAGGACATACTCTGCATCATTAAACACTCCCACTTGCCATCAAGAATTCGCCCTCGCAGACCAAGTCACCTCCGACATATGCCTTACCCTCCATCTTTGCTATTCCAAACCGTTTTTGGAACTTCACTAGAGTCGTTCTCATCACCAATGTGTCTCCTGCAATTAGAGGCCTTCTAAACCTCACTTTATCAATTCCTGCAAAGAAGAAATTGTCAAGAGATCCTCCAACTTCGGGTTGCAGCATAACAATACCTCCCTCCTGAGCCATTGCCCGCGCCCAGAATAAACTTCAGTTAAAACTTAGCAAATTTCATGCACCATAATCAATGAGTTTGTGGCAAAAGGGAATACAGATGAAATATATTACTAGAGCTAGTATTCTAAGGTGATTAGAGCAGAAATCTATTGTCACGATGCATTAGTGTAAGCTTGCAACCAATTACCAATTCAATGAAGATAGTTTTATCAACTCTGAACCTTGTATAAACATATTTCAGCTCTAGAATATAGCTAAAACAAAACAAACTTTCAACGAGACCAACCGAATCATGGGGACCCGAGCTAAAGAGAAGATTCTTTTGATTTTATAAGCCAAATGGTTACTTGCAAATGTGCCAAGGAATCAGAGTGACACTATTATTAATTTCAGTTTTCATGGTTCAGCAGTGCGGTTACTGACTTTGTGTTATACAAGAAAGAGTTAGTAAACTTCTATTGTGTTACGTTCATTGTGTTATCTCTTCTACTGCATTACTGGAAATCCACATACCATCCGATGGGACTAATCCTAGCACCTAAACATAAAACTTCTACCTGTTGCAGCAGGTAAGCTTATATATGCTCTTTATTAATCGCCTATATATCAATTTCACTTTCGCTATGGATTATCATGATTATACAGGAAGTTGGAGTAAAAGCTTAAAATGCATCTTCACTATGCCCAAAATACTGGAAGTTTAGTAGATTTTTTTTCACTATAACAGAAAGGAACAAGTAGCAAACTAAGTTGAAAACTGAACTGAAGGTTGATTTTGATTTGATCAGCATGCACCGTGAGAAGATCAAAACTGCTTGAAATAAAAAAAACATTTTATCATCACAAATGTACTGGAACAGAGATTAAACAGAAAATGCCTTTGAAAAAGAACCAATACCATAGGAAAGAGAGCATAGACAATGGAGATACTTTTTTCCTTCATCTTCTTCTCGTCATAGAAGATGGAGTTAGAGTATCCCAAACCAAACACCAATACACAGACCCAACCACGGAGCCAACCCACACTTTCAGGAAAAAAAAAAAAAAAACCAGCCAAATCCCATGGCACCCAAAATCGAATGCATCAAAGAGTGTATTAATATAACGAATTAAATCGTGTAGAAGTTGGACCCATTGGCTTCCTTAAGGGGTAAAACTGAAAAGCCACTTCCTAGTGTATTAAGCGATCAATCCGAGAGCTGTTCCTAGGAAAATTGTTACATCGAAGACTGTATTGTACTCAAATAAAACCCTGGGTTTGAGAAGCTGACCTCTAATTTGGCCTTATCTATCACATAAATGAGTCTTCGAACTTGCAACTAGCCAAATATATCACTCTAATGGACTAAATATCTCTTGATACAAAATCCAGGAGACTAACTTAGTAACTGAGAAAAAGGCACAAAAGTACAAAAAGCTCCATCTTGAACCGAGGTTCTAAAAGACGCTAGGTGCTAGTCAAGCAGCGGGATGGGGCCTAGCACCTAGGCGGCTAGGTAGGCGCCTAGAAGGACGAGACGGATTTAAGAAAATCTATTACATTTCGTTCTAATAAGAGTTTGCTTATACTTAAAATATATATAATTTCGTCATAAACTACAAAATAAAAGACATATATATTATGAAGTATTGGAACATAATAAAAAAAACACGAGGAACAAGCATATAATGTATGTTCATTTAGGTAGTATTCAACAAATCTCTTACAATTTTATGTCTAAGTGAGTTGAAACCTAGGTGGTCTAGGTGCCTTTTCTTAATTTTCAAACGCCTAGGCATTAATCGGGGCGATGGCCAGCTGTCTAGCCCCTAGGCGGCGCTAGGCGGGGATTTTTAGAATAGTGTCTTGAACAAAGATCTTGAAAAGCTTCATGCAATTTGATAAGAATATGCTGCTACAAAAATTTCACTTCTAAAACAAATCAAATTTTACTCTGAAGTGTCTATAGCAATCATAAAATGTCTTCTATGCATATATACAACTGTTTCTAATAAATTCCACACTTCAAAACAAAAGATCTGGGATTCTTTTAGATGCAGAAATATGAGCTTGAGAGTTAAGACCAACCCAATATTTTAACAACCACGAGAAGAATAGATCAACATGGAATGGCTCAACAACATACACACGTCTAGCTCAACAACACAAATCTTCTTCTACAAAGAACTCAGCTGCCACCAAACAGAGTTTGGTTACATATATCCGTCCACATATGAAACCATACACAGACAGCCAATTTATGGACTTCAGAAAACATAAGGCAAGTGAATCTGCGGATGCATTTTATAAATCACGTCTTGGTACATTTTCGTCCATTTGCATTCTAGCTAAACAGCCCTTTCTCAACATAGTACCCATATCCCCTAACCCAACCCACCAGGAAGTTCATATGTTTTGTTAAACCTTGTTTATTAATAATGTAAGAAACAATACACTATGCTTTACAACGTTGTTTGTCATATGGGCACTCTTGCATGATCATTTTTTTTTTTTTCTTTTTCTCTGAGAAAATAAAACTTCAACAAAACTGGTAAACTGAAACACTACTTTATTGACTCACTAGCTCAACAGAAGTGCCATAAAATTAACCCAGATAACTGCCAACATTTCATGCTATAACCATACAGTACAGACCCCCGTCTACTTAGAAATCTTTCCTCATCAATATAAAGCTACTGGAAAGTGAACCAACTAAATAATCAATATAAAGCTACTGGAAAGTGAACCAACTAAATAATCAATATAAAGCTACTGCAAGAGTGTTAACATCCCTTTCAATTTTAGATAAACCCAGTCTCAACATGCATCCCATGGATGATCGAGAAACATGTGTCCCTGCGCCCTTCTGCCTTGGTAACTCATTCAACGTAAATCGTTCTTATGCACCCACATTTCTCAAAAGCACATGCATTAACCATTTAGAAAATTTCATCTCATACCTATGTTGATGCAAGAGCAAATCCCTTATAAGCATAAAATATTTTCTCATAGAATAAACGCTGAAGTTTGCATTGTTGGACCATTTTAGAAGTTAGACACTAAAACGACACAACAATGAAAAACCCAATTCAAGAAATTATTATAGATATCCAGACAAGCCAACCAACAGCCAAGAGTCATGTCAAATGCATTGCCCATTCGCCGTTTACAAATTTGGGACAAAGAACAAGTGGCAATAGTTATAACTCAGCTCGACATTAATTTTCTCAAAGGAACGGATTCTACTATGCATTTTTCTAACTCTTGCCGGTTTTATCCGCGAGTATAGTATAATTAAGCGGAATATGTATTGTAGAGAAAGAACATAGGAGAGCATGAGAATAAGTGGTACCTCAATCATGAGAACTCCAGGCAAAATAGGCCTTTCTGGGAAGTGGCCAGGGAAAAAGTTATAATTTATAGTCACATTCTTAATAGCAACAGCTGAAACCCCAGGATTGTACTCAATCACTCTATCCACTAGAAGAAAAGGAAACATGTAACACAACCCACAACAACTTTAAAAACATCAAACACTCGAAGGAAACAAAAAACAACACTTACCTGTGGGGCAAGATTTCACGTATCTGATTAATATCCATTACCGTAGGAAATGCTGGGTATTCTGTGAAGACCCATATCAATTTCTTCAGAAACAAATCCATATTCAAATGCAGAAAATTAGGAAATTGACAAAAAAAAAAAAAAAAAAAAAGAGAAAGACATTACGCTTTTCAATGGGTGTGACTTGGGCAGCGCTGCCTTGTACATTTAGAGAACAACATGCGAAGAAATTGGGGTGGCGATTGGATTTGAGACAAAGAGAAGGAGAAATTGGAAGAGAAAGAGAGGTGGGAGAGTGAAGGATTCTTAGGTTTCTGGGTTGGGTGAGTGACTGAGCAAGAGCGAGAGAAAAGAGGGAGCTTGAGATAGCTGCTGACATTGTTGGAAATAACAACGCCCATCACCTGAACAGCGAAGACAGTGAGACGTGAAATGAAAAGTTTTGAGGGGGAGAAGAGGGCACTTGAGACTTGCTTGGTTAATGAGTTGTTCAACTGCTTCGTGTGCTAGATTGGGACTTTGATTGGTAGATTGGCTTGGTTGTTATTGACTTCTTGACTACATCCAAGGAAGGACTACTAGGGCCTAGAAGTTGAGAAAATATGTTGAAAATCATAGAATTGTTATGAAATTAAGGATATGTGTGAGACACCATATTTACGAGATTCAGCAAGTGTGCCTACGTTCTCGAGGTAGTAGCATTAGTCTCTCTCGTTATGAAAATGAAATTACAAAGTAATGGAAAAAAGACATTGCATGCTTACTTCTCTATTATGTCTATATATTTGTGAGCCGGTAGGCCTTTATATAGGAAAACTATATCTTCTCTGTTAAGGCCAAGAGATGTGAAAGTAGGCAACATACCTTCAACATTTGTTGGCTAACAAGAAATGGTAGACGACGCTTATTTCTTCATGTGGGTTATCAACTTTTATAACACTCTCCATTGGACGACCACAAGTCTTTGATTGACTGTTTTTAAAATTTCTCCAATAACTCATGAGATGAATGGATGGTCTAAAGGAAACAAAAATACTTTGCTCATGTGGCATACTCTTAGATTAACTAACTTCTTATCATGACAATGTGTGTTGGTGCAATTCTTGAGCTTCTAAAGTGAAAACTTTGGCAGATAGTTGGTGAGGTTGTGCACCATATTAACTTTGAACGTGTTTCTCCAGTTTTCATTACTTAATTCTTTCTGTGGCAATCTTTATGCAGGCGAGAGAGATATTCAGATTTTGTTTGCATAATAAGATTATGGCTATTAGTGAGTTCATTGGAATAGACCAAGTATATGTCTATAATTTCTCGAAGATATTAATTGATAAACTTTACTTCATTCTAACACCCATATGTTGGTATTGTTCTTCACAAGAAATGTAACATCTGATCCAGTGTATTTTGCTAAATACAATAAATCACATACTTCACTAAGATATGGTACTTCTGGACCAAATATCAATTCATCATTTCTCTCACGAGGATGAATGATCTTTCTTAGTACATAAAATTTAATTAACCATTTGAATGTTCAACTCATGATCTTCAAACCACATGGTTTTTAATACCATAAACCTTTCGGTGGATAAGAATTCGTTATGGCATATTGTTTGATCTGCAACCAATGTTTGAAATATCCTAGATATGCTCGATATCTCCACGGAAATATCCAAAAATTCAGGGAATGATATGGAAAGGGGGTGAAGTGTACATTTCACCCCATACCCCCATATTTCCGGAAATCAATCAATTTCCCCTATATTTTATGTATCCTTGCAAAAAAAATTGCAACAAAATTTGCAGACTTGTGGTCAAGTTTTCTTCTTCGTTTCTTTTTTCTATTTAATTCAGTTTTCAATCTATCATATATTTGAAGATTGGTGCAATTTGAAAGTACTACGCATGAAGGCCTAATCAAAATGAAAGATGAAGACTGACTATTAGTTTTAACTCTATGAACTTATGCATTCTATATGGTATAAGTTTAATTTAATAAAACTTGTGTTGCTTTTATGATGAAAGTTTCAATTAAATAATGTGCAATTTATTCGTTCTAGTGAAATATTTTATTTTATTATTTGTCATTAGATAGAAGTTTTCCTTCTCAATGTCACACATACTTATTGTTTACCTGTCTAATCATTAATTCTTGATTCATATGCATGTTGTGCCTTCATATGATATTCCCTAAACAATAATTTCAAATTTCCATGATTGTTAGCAGATTTCCATCCTTTCCATTGAATGTAACCGATATCGATATTGATATCTGATAATATCCATGAATATTTCAGCAAATTTGCATATCAATATTTCCACCAATATCGATATTTTAAACATTGGTGATGTGCAATTTATTTGTTCTAGTGAAATGTTTTATTTTATTTTTTGTCATTAGAAATAAGTTTTCGTTCTCACATGTCACATACTTATTTTTTACACAATATCTAATCATTAATTCTTGATTTATACGTGTGTTGTGCCTTCATATGATATTCCTTAAACAATAATTTCAAAGTTCCAAGTTTTTTAGCAAATGTCCATAATTTCTATTAAAGGTAACCGATATTGATATCGAATATATCCATCGTTATTTTTGCAAATTTGCATATCGATATTTCCACCGATATCGATATTTTAAACACTGTCTGCAGCTCGAGACAATATTTCTTTCAACACTTTATAATTTTTCTACACTCCTTAGGAGTCTCAATCTAATATCAACTCTTGCAAGAGATTTATCATGTTGCAATAATATTATAATGAAAACACTCACTAAGGCAATTCATACCATCCACTAGTATAGAGTACATAATTTGTGCTTTACCCTTCCAAGGCTTTCTTCAAGCAATCTACATCATTTGGGAATTTTCTACACTTCATGATGCATTCTCCCTTGGAAGATATATAAAGCAATTTGTTTCTATGTATACTTGAGGGAATTACTTATGGAGATATGTTGTGGGTATCTAACAACCTTTCATATATAATTCTCCATTCATATGAACTTGTTTACAAGAGTATCATAATTTTAGGTTTCAATTAGTAACCTTGTATCATATCATGTAAGTGTATTTCATTGTATTATAAATGGCCATATGTATCCTTCTGGGTTTAACATCATTTGGCGGTTTGTACTATAGGTCCGTTTTTCCATGTTCTTACTAAATTGTAATGGAATTGCCTTTCTCTATTTTGGCCAATAATTTTTTTTTCCATCGACAAAGAAAGAACGTGGCTCAATATCAACACAACTCATTGATGAATTTAGTATCTTCTATAAGACCCAAATTAATATTGGTTATCATCAATTCGTGATCCACAACTCTCATGTACATGCATATGCATATTTTATAAGCATTTCATTACTTTGGATATCATTGCCTCTTCAGGGGCTTTACATTATCTCTTCTAGGACATTTATCTCTTATTCGATAAACTGTTTGGAGATTTTGGATCATAACCTCCTCTAAAACGTTATAGAGCTTGAATTTTTAATCTCCACTTCTAAAGAGTTGGATCATCGGAACCTATACATCTATCATGCTTTAAGCATGAGACACAGTACACAGTAATATAGCCATGTCCATAGACTATCCTTTTGGGACTTAAATCCATGCGGCGACTGTCATGCTTCGGGCATGAACAGTTTGGTAGTGTCAATTCAATAGATTGTCTTGTTGAGACATCAACCCATGCGGCATCTTTGTAACTCGTAATTAATTTGTAATTTTCAAAATGTGGATTACTTTTTTGTACATCATGTGAATGATTATAAATTGCTGAGACAGAGTAATAGTTGAAGTCGTTCGTGTCCATGGTTGTTATAGATTTTAGGTAGAGATTGTTGAGCTATGAGTAAGATTCCCATCATTGAACTTTGGTCTTCCATTCACTTAGTCATCTACTCATTTTCTCCCCTTGAACTTCTACGGGTTCATCGTTCATCCTTCAGCTTCAACTTTCTGCATACAGAGTGGTGTGCAACCTTTGCCTTTGAATGATCCTTCAAAACATCACTTCTCGGTGACTCATCTATGCTTGGTAGCTTTAGTGTAAAGAGCTAACATCGTATCAAATGTTCTAAGGCGTTGGTGATTTGATGCCCAGCTCTAACAACAGTTGAAGATGACTACTCTAGAGGAATGCAAGGTAAGCAATTAGGCAAGGTTCCAGGCAATCAGTTCCATACCAAAAGTTTGATTTTAGGTACCGACTGATTGCTCTCTTTTGCCTTGTCTTGCAGGCAAGAGTAAGAGCAAAAGAAAAGACAAGAAAAAAAACATGATATGAGATACTTTTGCTCTCGACCATAATGATATGAGATACTTTTGCACTTGAGGAAAAAGAGCAAAAGAATTTGATGCTGATGTAAAACTTCTCGATAAAATTTTCTTGTTGAGAAAATGAGTTCAGCATTTTGAGGGACTTGGTTGAAAAGGTATTCTTAGAGAGGAAGAAGACTAAGTATTTTTTGAGGCTTGGTTGAAGATGCATTCTCAGCAAGGAAAAAGAGTTAAACATTTTTGGAGCTCTACCTTGCCATGGAAGACGAAGGTCGAGATATATAGGGATTTTACAATAGTAGGTAGTGGTGATATAAGAAAAAGCTTATTCAGGAAAATCCGACTTTTAAAATTTGGAGACCAGTGACTTCAATTTTTGAGTAAGTGGTCGTGCTACCTCTTTTTTATAGGACATTAATTGTATCCAAAAAGCACACTTGAAAAGTTGTATGCCTGTGAAAATTGCCCATGTTGCATTTCTAAGATTTCAAGTTATTTGATTTCCTTTACTTTCATCTTTTATGAAAATAGCTTGCCCATTTGACTGTTGTTTTGATTTAAATGTTGTGGAAGATGCAGACATGCCTCTTCAAGATAATATCTGACACCCATTCTTCTTATCATCTAAGGGTCCTATTACGGTTGGAGACTTTGCGATGAAGAATGATATAACCACTATAGTAGTAGCTAAGAACCTTCTCACTCCCAAAGATAAAAGAATGCTTTCAAAAGGTTTGACGAATTGATTGTTCAAGACTCTTTGGCTTTCAATATTCTGTGTGCGAGTTCTATATCCAACATGGGCCAACGTCTACTTGCTTGAACTTGCCAAGTTGAATAACTAGTGGTTGAGGTGGCAAGCCTTAGGCAATAAATTAGAGGGATCAAGTACAAGAATAGAGAGTTGCACATACTTGCAAATATTTACTTGACAAGCATGAAGAGAAAGCTGGACCAGTTGCAAGAATCCGAAAGTCGGATTCAAAGTGGCCATCAGAGGTCGTGACTCTATTCCAAAGGCATCGATTTCCTCCACTACCTAGAGTTCTACCAAGTACTGAGGCTTCAAATGATTAACCTCCGGTGCCTCCTCATTATGAAGTTTTGCCAAGTACTAAGGCTTCACATAATCTTTAGTACCTCCCCTTTCTGGGGTTCTGCCAGGTACTAAGGCTTCACATGAGCAACCTTTATAAAAGCCCTTCTTTTTTTTTTTTTTCTTTTCATTGTTGTAGTTGTA